GGTCAGTATTTAAGGTGGCAACTGCTACCAATGAACCGAGATCCCTACTTGCAATGAAAATCAAGGAAGGCCGGGGGAAAGTGGCAGCACTTAATTGCCAAAGAGAAGGTGAGCATGATGATTATAATGGGCAGCGGAGCCAAAGTATTATAGTAATCACAATAGCCTGACTCGAGGAAAACCTGGGGCTTTGTCTAGCTCAGTGGCCGTCAAAGTCATTAGTAAACAGCCAAATATCAACAGTACAATGATTGAAATTTCTTTTGAGAGCCAAATTTTTAAATCTTAAACTATATAGGTAGGTACATTGTTATTAATTTAATTAGGGTACTCCTAAGCTGGCCTTTGCTAAAAAACATGGTACTTTGTGGAAGAGCCAAAGAGCTCAAGGGGCCAAAGAGCTGCATGTAGCTCAAGAGCCACAGTTTGCCGACCATGGGTCTAGGTGATCAAAAGAAATGGTGGGCAGTCTACTAAATTCTCACTTGTATTCTAAACCTAGAAGTGGAAGACATCTAGGTTTGGTCAACAGAAGTCTAACTTGAATTACAAAAAATAGTCATAGTTTCTCAGTTAATTTCCAAACTCGAGAGCCAGTTTACAGACTAAGAACCACTTGAAAGAAGCGGATACTGGGTCCTCTTTAGGGCTGCAGAACATTTATACCGTTGATCTATCTCCCAGTGTTTCTCAAAGTGACTGTTCTCATAGGAAAGCAAAGTGGGTTGGGGTGGTGGTGGGAATCATCTCTGGGATTGGATAAAAAGTGAAAGGAATGGAGATACGCTTCTTTTACAAAGGTGAGAATAGAATAGTCAACAGCTAACAATTGACCTGATAACAATAACAATGAAGGGTTCAGTGGTCTCTTGGTCTGGTGTAGTGACTGTGCCCAGAGGGGTCTAGTAAAAAGAAATTACTCTGACACTTCAAAGGTTTGTTATAGTACTGGAAAATAGGCTCAGTTAAAGTAAAGATTGAGCCCTAGCTAGCTTGGCTCAGTGGTTAGAACGTCAGCCTGAGGACTGAAAGGTCCCGGATTTGATTCCAGTCAAGGGTACATGCCTAGGTTGCAGGCTCAGTTCCCAACAGGGTATGTAGGAGGCAATCAATCAATGATTCTCTCTCACCATTGATGGTTTTCATCTCTCTCTCCCTCTCTTTTCCTCTCTGAAATAAATAAAAAATATATATTAAAAAATAATAAAAAATAAAAATTGACTTTTGTCAAGGAAGACTACTCACCATGACTTGTTTTTATTTAAAATTTTTATTTTTCAATGTTTTTTTTAAAAATTTTATTGATTTTTAGAGAGGAAGGAAGAGGGAGAGGGAGATAGAAACATCAATGAGAGACACATCCTTTGGCTGCCTCCTGTATGCCCCCTACTTGGAGATAGAGCCCACCACCAGGGCATGTGCCCTGATCTGGAATTGAACCATGACCTCCTGGTCCATGGGACGATGCTCAATCCACTGAGCCACACCAGCTGGGCATTGTGACTTGGTTTTAGTTAAGAAGTTTTAATTTCAGACCATCCATAAAAATGGTGGGACGGTAATAATGTGGAATTTGAGTCTTAGATTGACTCCAGCACAGACACACAAATGTGAGCAATTCATTAAGTTATTCTGTGTTTCAGTTTTCTCATCAGTAAATGGATTCTTTTTAGGTTCAAATGTGATTGTGTTTTAAACTGCTTTGTGAATGACAAAGCTCTGTGCTGAGAGCAGATGGCAGCCTGGTACAAGTGCAAAAACTCTCTGTCTTTTTCTCGGCTGAAACACAGGACAGCCACGATGAGTTCACTTTTGCAGTGATGAGGGAGGGAGAAGGAAGAGAAGAAATGGTGGAAGCCCCTCTGCTTCCTTTTCAATCATTTCACCTCTCTCCTCTCCTGCTCTCCTTTAGGCTCTTGCCAGAAAACCCAGGTAGGACCCCCCCTGCCTTCCTGCAGTTAGAACTCCTTTCACTTACTGTATTGGTTTCCTAGGGGTGTCTTAACAAATGACCACAAACTTGGTGATTAAAACCACAGACATTTATTCTCTCACTCCTGAAGCCCAGTCTGAAATTGTTACAGGGAAACCCCTAGTTGGGTTCAGGCAGCCTGTTGCTGTGTCCAATAATGAAGGCAGGGTTGAATTATTTTGGGTGTTTATTGAGAAAGCTAGCCTACCAAGAAGACAGCGTGCTTACAAGCATCAAATCCTGTCGCAGGGGACAGGAATATATAGGGGAAGGAGCTAGGGTGAGACTGGGAAGGAATGCAGCTATGTGCAGGCCTGGGGGTATTGTAATTAGTCATCAGGCGATGAGATAATGTTTTGACTCCTGGTGGGTAGGTCTGGCCAGGCTTTTCAGTTCTGCTTGCTGGACTCACAGCTGAGTCACCTCCTCAATTGCTTCGCACAGGCCTTGAAAAGGAAACTTTAAGAAAAGTCTTATTATTACTTTTCAGATTAATTCAGGTGCTCCATCTACTAAGTTCTAGGTCACCCCTATCAAAATCAAGGTGTCTGCTGAGTCATGCTCCCTCCAAGGGCCCCAAGGTTCCTGGGCTTGGGTTTGCATAACTCTACTCACTGCCTCAGCCTTCACATGGCCTTCTGTCTATGTCTTTTCCTCCCTTCTCTTTAAAGACACCAACTTAGATTTAAGGCCCTCCCTAATCCAGGATAATGAGTGTTTTTTAAAAAAATATATATTTTATTGATTTTTTACAGAGAGGAAGAGAGAGGGATAGTTAAAAACATCGATGAGAGAGAATCATTGATCAGCTGCCTCCTGCACACCCCCTCCTGGGGATGTGCTTGCAACCAAGATACATGCCCTTGACTGGAATCAAACCTGGGACCTTTCAGTCTGCAGGCCAATGCTCTATCCACTAAGCCAAACCGGTTTCGGCTGAGGTTTTTTATTTTCAATATGTTAGCTAACCGAGTTTATAAGCCCAATGCTTCAACAGGCCACAACTCAAAACATCAAGAGTTTGGAGTAAGGAGAGAATTATTGATTAAGAAGGTGCCAACAGAGAGGGTGGGGGATCTAATGATGCCTCAAATCCACCTTGCTTATTGGACTAGGTAAAGAAACTTGAAGGAGTTGGAGGGAACAGGCAAACAGAAGTGCTGGTAGGGCAAGTTTTAATTGGCAGATCTTGGAACTTGGCCATTTCTGGTAAGGGGCCGGATCTTTCTGGACAATAGACCCTTGGCTTCTGAAATGGTTCCGCCACTTAAGTTATGTGCTGGTCCCTTGGCTCTATACTGTATGTATTTGTGTGTATGTGCGCGCGCGCACTTTGGTTTTGAAAGATTCGGCAATTGTTTTGTCCTTGTTTTTGTAAACTGGCAGACCACGTTTAATTTTGAGAAACCAAGTGCTTGGACATCTTCATTCACAACTTGTTTTTTTATGACCAAGTTATCATTTTCCCCCTTCTCAGTGGGAAAGGAGGTTTATGATGCCTCACTGGCAGGAGGTGCAGAGGACAAACATTTGCATTCTTGGCAATTTGACTTCTCTCCTCCTTGGCCTCCTCCCTTCTGCTTACCACTTCCTCCACGCCCTGGGCAACTTTCTCTGCAGTGTTTGCTATCCACAGTTTCCATTCAGTGTGCTGGCCTTCCTAGGTTTTCCAGATTGAAATAACACTGGAAAGAGACCTGCATGAGATTTTGGTCCCATTCAGTGATGGTCTGGGAAACCTGGGCAACCGGATTTTTTTTTATCTACTGCATTCCCAACATCCGGATTTTCATGTTCCGTCTTAAAACCATTTCTCAGTCTATGAGAAGCACGAACGCCAGTGAAGTAAATGCCCATAGGCTTTTGGCCGTCCTTGTTCTCATCAAGGCAGCAGTGCGGGGATAATATCCAGGCGGCGCTGTCAGCTAGGTGAAGGCCTGCAGCTCCCCGCGCGCTCTGAGTGTTGCGTGAACAGTAAGGGAATCTGTGGTTGGATTCCTACTCCAGGCAGAGAGCAAGCCTCAGCTGAAAAATTTCTGAGCCGGGGAGACAGCAGCTGAGTGGTGGAGGCGACTCGCGAGAGAGTTCTCACCCCGCCCTGCAAAGCTCAGCCCGGGAGGGGCCGGAGGGGAAGGTGTGGGAGACCCGGGAGCGGGTTAAACGGCAGCAGCTCGCAGCGCTCGGACCCTTTCGCTCTCCCCGAGAGTCCTCGCAAGAAGTTGCTGTGCGCCCCCCCACACAAGACCTTCTCCAGCACCCCGGGCACGTGGTAGTTCGCTTGGAGGTGGTGGAGGAAACGCTAACACTCTGTAGGTGAAAATCCTGCTCCTCCAGGGATTTGGCTGGGAGCGCTGGGGGAGGCGGGGCCCGGGGACGAAACGAGGACGCCCCGGAGGCTGCGCCGCTCCCGGGAGGCTGCCGGTCCAGCCCGGGCGCTCCGGGTTGGGTGGCGCAGGAGGTGGGGCCGGGGCGGCGCGCAGAAATAGGGCTTCGGGCGGCGGAGCGCCGCCAGCCACCAGCGCCGTCCGCTGCCCGGAGCCCGTTCCCACGGAGGCCGGTGTGGTGCAGTGCGGGGCGCTCCCGGGATCCCTACCTCCCAACGGCCTCGGTGAGTCACCCTCGCTGAGTTGTCGCGATCGCAACCCAGAGGAAACCAGGCACCGGGTGGGGTGAAAAAGATCTTCCCAACCAGCTCCGCGGGGTTACCCAGCTCGCCGCTCCCGGCTCGGGCTGCGGCTCTGGAGCGCGCGGCGGCTCCCACGCCGGTCCGGGTCTGCAGCGGAGCAAGAGTTAAGCGGCCGCCGCAGGAGGAGCCCCGGAAACAAGGAAGGAAATTGCCGAGGTTCTGAAAGTTTTTCCTTCCTCTCTTGTCCCCCCTGCAGAGGTGAGAGCCGGGAGGCGGCCGCGCTGATCCTCCCGGGCCGGGCTGCGCGCCTCTGAGGCTCCAGGAGCTGCCGCCCGGGGCCGGGGACCGCCGCCGCGCTCCGACCTCCGCCGGGACCCCCCTCCCGAGAGGGTGCGAGGAGCCATGGACGGCGCCGAGCTGATTGGGAAGATCTTCTTCACCTGGCTGTCGCTGGTGCTCGGCCTCATCCTCCTGCCTTCGGCCTTCGGAGTGTCTCTGGGCATCTCTGAGATGTACATGAAGATCCTGGTGAAAACTTTAGAGGTGAGTGTCCCCGAGCCTCGGGGGGCTTCAGGGGGAGTCTGAGGATGGAAACCGAGGGTAGAGCCCAGTTTAGGGGAGGCAGGGGCAGTTCTGAAGGTCAGTGGTCCGTCCGCAGGGTGTGCGTTTCGGTTTATCCTCCGCGGTAGCGCCAAGACAGCTTTCTGCAGAGCTGGGGAGATCGGGGCTGGGACCCCTGGACCACTCTTATTGTTCCTCTTATTGGAGGCAGAACGACCCCACTCAGGACTCCGTTATTTTTATTTTTACTGATAGATGAACAGTGCGGCCGCCTTGTATAGTGTTGGCTTTCTTTCTACCTGTCACGCAGTGCCGCTGTCACTTCACTCTCCTAAGTTTTTACAGCCCCGGGTTTCAGAGGTCCTTTGCTATATAAGGCCTCAGGTTTATGTCCAAGATAAGAAACCAATTGCTCCATGGTAGAAAAAAAAAATCTGATTATATTGTAATGAAGTCATGGAAATTTTATCTGATTGATGGCACTTGAAATGTCATTAAACATGTGTCTTTGACCTCTGTTCTCCCTACACTCCTCTTTGCAAATTCTGCGAAGAAAGGTATTTGGTGCAGGTGGGCCAAAAAGGTATCTGGTGCCATGGGGAAGGACTGCAGCTTCTTCTTATACATGGCTTTGTAAAATTACAAGGGCGCTCCTCCTGCTCACTGTCTCAGCATCTGCTCCCCAAAGCCTTGGAAGAGAGGGGAGACTTATCCCCCTTTTATGCAGATGAGGAATTTGAGATCCAGTTCAGTAGTTTGAATGAAGTGGTCATAACTAATGAGAGGATGTGTCTGCCTAGTGCTGTGGTCGGCAAACTGCAGCTCCCGAGCCACATGCGGCTCTTTGGCCCCTTGAGTGTGGCTCTTCCACAAAATACCATGGCCTGAGCAAGTCTATTTTTGAAGTGGCGTTAGAAGAAGTTTAAGTTTAAAAATTTGGCTCTCCAAAGAAATTTCATTTGTTGTGCTGTTGATATTTGGCTCAGTTGACTAATGAGTTTGCCGACCACTGGCCTAGTGGTTAGAAGTACAGCCTTTGGGTACAGATTCGCTTAGACATGATACCAAACTCCCAGCTCTGCTTCTTAATGCCAGGCTTTCTGGAAGCCTTATTTTTCTAATCTCTCATCAGGGGGAACAATAATGCTGTCTTCCATAGGCTTGTTTAAGTATGTTAAAATATGCCAAACATCTCAGAAGGGTGCTGAGACATGTTAGGTGCTATCTAAGTGTTTGCTGTTATTCAAAGAATAATAATATTATTTGGGGTCTAGCGTCCTCATTTCTCTAACTTCTAATGTGGGTTCTCATTTTTATGCTCATATTTCCTGTCTCAGGATGAAACCCAGCCTGAAGGGTGTCTCATCTATCTATCTATCTATCTATCTATCTATCTATCTATCTATCTATCTATCTATCTATAATCTATCTATCCTATCTATCTACATCTATCTATCATCTCTATCTATCTATCAATCATATCTATCTAATCTTATCTATCTATCTATCTATCTATCTATCTATCTATCTATCTATCTATCATACATCTAATCTTTCAGTTGCCTCTGGCTATCAGTTGCCTTCCACACGGGCCCTGACCCTGATAGAACCAGGGTATGTGCCCTGACCAGGAATCAAAGCCACCACCTTTGGTGTATGGGATGACATTCCAACCAACCAAGCCACACCGGCCAAGGCTTTCTTACTGACTTCACACTCTGAACATGGTCACACCAAACTGTGAATGTCTTCCCTGCCTCCTAACTATTTAACTTCTGCAGGATTTAACTTCCTTATAGCACAGGATCCTCTTCAGCTGGTGTTCATTCTTTCTCAGAACTCTGAAATGATTGAACTGTTCTTCCAAACAGCAATGTCTGTTGGGATTTATACCTAAGTAAGGATGGGGCGAGGGTAATTCGCACAAACGGGCTTCCAGGTGCTGACTCCTGTGCTTCTTCTTCAGTTATTCAAGATATAGCTAAAGATATGTCCTGGAGAGAGAACAGCAATTGCTGTCAGCCTGGCAAATAACTACTATATTTTGAAGAGATATCGCCGGTCCAGGATCTGGCCTTCAGTTTGGTAGCACCTTAAGTTTTCATTTTTGTCTGTCTAGAGTTGAAGAGACTTTCAGAAACGTACTCGGTTAATCACACTATCAAGAACAATTTTCGAATTGTTGTGGGAGATACATCACTTGGCTTGGAAACCAGATAGAGGTGGCATAAGGAGCTATCCTCTTTGCCAAGACTAAGTTATTAGGTCAGAGAGATGCTTGGCATATATAAGGATGGGGATTCATTTTGTGAGCCAACTCTGACTTGTTGGTTGTAGTTGCCTGGAGTGTCTGTGTTTGGAAGCAGCTGGCCACATCGGGAAAGAGTTGGGATCCCACAGTGGTATCTGCACAGGAGGTGAAAGTGGCAACCCAGGGCTTTCCATCCTTCCACTAGAGCAGCAGTAGTTGTTTCAAAGACATTTCTGTTAGGTGGGAATTAGCATAGGGCAGTGGTTGGCAAACCACGACTCGGGAGTCACATGCGGCTCTTTGGTCCCTTGAGTGTGGCTCTTCCACAAAATACCACGGCCTGGGCGAGTTTATTTTGAAGAAGTGGCGTTAGAAGAAGTTTAAGTTTAAAACATTTGGCTCTCAAAAGAAATTTCAATCATTGTATTGTTGATATTTGGCTCTGTTGACTAACGAGTTTGCCGACCACTGGTAGGGCATTACTTTTTCTGACTATAGGAATAGTTCCCTTAAAAATTGTACTGGTTGTTTAGTATTAGAACATCCTTGTTTGTGTTCAGTATTAGAATATCTTAAGTTCTGGACAAATACCCTGCTTTTTTATAGATTCCATTCAAGGTCCAGCCTTTCCTGTTACTCATTATCCTTAGTATTGTTTGTAGCTGGTTTGGTTGTTTCTTTTGAACTCCAGTCCCAAGAACATTCTATGGGTTCTTTGATTGAAAGTTGAAAAATCTCAAGTTTCCCAGGTTACAACCTACATACTATTTAAAAGGTCATTTAGTTTTGTGCATTATGTACTTACTTTTCTAAGTTTTATTGACAATGGATGGCTTTTTCATGACCGTAAACTCAAATTCTGGAATTTTAAATGTGTGTGGGGTGCCTTCTGAATAGCTGATTGTAGTAATTGCTATTTGTCAAGTAACTGACACAGCTCTTCTCTAGCTCCTTCTTAGCTGCTTATCATTTCAGGTAATAATTTTTTTTTATTGAGCACCTACTGCATGCTGCCTTGTGCATTGCTGAATATCTCTATACTAGTGGCCCTGGGTATGGATTTGTGCACACCGAAAGGAAATTAATTAGAACTGCAGCTTGGCAGTAAACCAGATTTGGGGCTGACAATGCCCCAGCAACAACATAACCCACTGCTGAAGGTGGAATCGCTCAGGACCTGGGAGGAATCGGGCTCCCTTCTCTCTGATTCTAGGGTGCGTCACTGGAGAACTGTGCCTGCCAAGTCACAGCAGCTCAGCAGTTCCTGTGTTGAGTGACTGTCCCCTAGTGGTCAGTGAGTGTTATATGTACTAGCCGGTTGGCTGGATGGATGGTCACTTAGCCTTTTATATATATAGATGTGTGCATAAGCTCCTGATATGGCAAGCCACTTGAGGACAAGTCTTGAATTCTTAGTGATTCTCTAAACTAGTGATTTTCAAGAGCTACATAATAATTTCTCAGGAATGTTACATTATATTGGAAAAATTGTTCTAGGAATGTAAGCTATGAAAAGTAAAATTTTGGATGAGAGAATGGTGTGTAGAGAGTGATCCATCTGGATGGTGGGGTGTATGTACCTGAATCTCTAGAAGGTGTGTGTGAAGTTTTCATGTTTATCAGAGAGGAGCATGGATTAAAGGTTGAAAAATGCTGTCAATCATAAAAGTTAATTGTAAGGTTAATGATGGAGGTGAAAGGGCAGAAGGGTTGCAATTCATTGGCCTAAGATTAGTGCGAAATAAAGAATGGGAAGAGAATAAAGGATTAATGGAGAAGAAGAAGGTAGGGGAATGTTATTAAATTTTCACCTAAATTTTATTTATTTAATTGAGGCCTGATGCATGAAATTTGTGCAAGAGTAGGTCTTTCCCCCAGCTGCTGGCACTGGCTTCCTTCCAGCACCTGGGACCTGGGCTTCCCCCAGCTTCATCCAGAAGTTGATCTGGAAGGAGATCTAGTTTGATTAGCATATTATGCTTTTATTATTATAGATTTAAAAAATTTATTTGCTTGTTTCTTTACTTTTTTATCCCCCCTCAGTTTTTGAGGAATAAAATGGAAGCATGAACAAGTTTTTTTCAAATTTCTGGCCTTGCCCTAACTGGTTTGGCTCAGTGGATAAAGCGTCAGTTTGCGGACTGAAAGGTCACAGGCTCCATTCCAGTCAAGGGCATGTACCTTGGTTGCTGGCAAATCCCTAGCAGGATGCAGCTGGTTGATGTTTCTCTCGCATTGATGTTTCTAGCTCTTTATCCCTCTCCCTTTTTCTCTGTAAAAAATCAATAAAATATATTTAAAAAAAAAAATTTCTGGCCTTGTAACCTTGGACAGGTTACTTAACCATCTCGACCTTAATTTCTACTTGTGTATACAAAAATATGCCTCCAAGAGTTATTGTGAAGATTCAATGAGGATAGGTGAATAAAAGCACTTGATGCATAGTAGGTGCTCAATTCTTGGAGTTTGAATTAAAAAACTTTTTGGTCTTTTTTTTTTGTTTTCTTCCATGTGGCTAAAATTTAACCTACCTTCAGATCTTTGATAGGTTAGCATATGTACTCAGAGCAGACAATCCCTGCCTTTTGTTTTAATTTTATTCTTTCCCTTTACCCTCTTTTCTGTCCACCAATTAAGTTTCCATCATTTTAAAAGGCATGTGGTAATCATTGGATAGATTATCTATTTCTTTATTTACTTGTTTATTTCTTTATTGTTAATATTACAGATG